GGTGTTACTATTCTTTGGGGCCCTTAGTTCCTGAATGACCATAGTCTCCTGGGAGTGAAGTGCCATTAATTGAACCTCATGCTGCTATTTCCTCTAGATTCTTTCTTCCTCCTTCCCCTTTTCCTATACTGATAGAAAAGAGGCAAGGACAGACAGGTCAGCCCATTGCTGAAATGTGCATAGTATTTAAGTGTTTTATAGGTTAGTCATGGGATTTTCTTTCAGGATCATACCCAATGATGCTCTCTTGGAAAAAAAAACAGCCCACCTCCCCCCCCAAAAAACCAAAGAAGTCCCCAAACTATTGAAACTATTGTGAGTATTGCCAAATTAGTAATGCTGTATTGGATGCAATGCATTCATCTACACATCCCTGTGAACACAGGGATGATGAGAAAACTCTGATTTCCTCTAGGCTGAATCTTGTCCTCAGAGACAAAACAAGCCTGTTCTGGCTTATATACCTCTCAGGCAAGCTAAGTTCTCTGTGTGTGCTATCTCCCTTCATTAAAAGGTTGGTAATTAAGACATACAAGTCTAAGGCCTGACTATGCAATCCTGCAGCTCCTGGATCATTCAAAAGTACAGCTGACAGGGAGTCCCTTACTCCCCTCTTCTTCCAGGTGTCATAGAATCTTTATGTGTATGCAGTCATCACAGCTCTCAGTAGTCTTTGAGCTTTCCTGAGTCGTAGTGATTCCCTGACCCAAAATGTGAGCTGTGCCCAAGCTTATTATTACCTCACTCATTAGTTCTCTAACACTCACACCTTTGTTATCCAGAGAGATCACCAACACCCTTCATAAATAAAGTCAGCCTTGCTTATGGCTGTTTCTTCCAGGTGGAGTACTTGATTAATGGGGAGATGCCCAATGACTTCTCCCAGGCTTTGGTATTTACCAACCAGTCCTTAGAGTATTTGCAGAGGAGAATTGTGGACCTACATAAAGAAAAGATAGTGCAAAGAGAGATCTATAAGGCGGCTCAGGAGCAACATGAGCAGCTTATCCAGGACAAAAAGGAGATGGAGATAACAATTCAACGTGAGTAACAGAGACTCTGAACAGCACAGCATATTGATGCTCATTCTGTCCCCCTCAATTGGTGTGGGTAACTCACCAGATGTCTGTCTTTACACTCACATAGATGTCACAGCTGGTTACTGCAGAAAATCAAACAGAAAGAGCAGATGAAGTGGAATGTTTTGATGAAGTATTGGTAGTTCTCCAGCACTGCAGTCATTAGGCTTCTGAAATCGTTTGGGAACCTAGTATAAGGCGAGTTGACTGAGACGAGCCACTGGAAGTCAGGACACATGATTGCTATTTCTGGCTGTAAACTGAAACTGCTAGGAAAAATGTACTTTCCGCAAAGCTTTTTTGGCAGTTTCCTCCTCTGTGTAACACAGGAAGAATGAAACAAGCTCTAATCAAAACACTTTCCAAAGGGCCAAACCCAAAGATGTGTCTAGCACCACCAGGCCTCCAGAGGTGTGGGAGCAGGTTACTAGAACTGGCTTAAAGTGTGACTTAGTGACCACACAGTCACAATCATGGGCAAGGACAGGCAACAACATTCAGTTGTGAGCTGTTTGTGGGCTTGTGTGAATTAATTATTACAGAGCAAATACCAAAGAGCTCAGACAAAGAGCTGTGGATAAGGTGGAAGTTCTTACTAACCAATGAAAGACAGTGCTGCCATTTGTGCTCTACCCCTTCTGTTAGAACTGGAAGAGAAGTGCAATTACCTGATGATGAAGAAGTTTGGACGACTGGTTGATTTTGAAGCAGTTCAATCATACTCTGTTAACATACGCGTGGAAGAGTTGGAAGTGCAAATAATGGAGAAAGAATATGAGCACTCCCAGGAGCTTAAAGAGTGGGAGGTAAGGAGCAGGAAAAGAGTGTTATGATGATCTGTCAAGGTGTAATTTCTCTGGGACTGAATAGTTACACTAAAATCTTTTGGAAACATATTCATGTTTGAGGTGTTTTGCAGTTGTCATTAACTGACAATAATGTCCAACTCTCATTTCCTATCAACATTCCTACCTCTGCTCCAGTTGCTGATGCATTCACATTCTATTTTTCATGGAGGTAGTTGATCTTTTTATGTGACTTTCCTCAAATGCATCTTTCTGCTTCAGTCCCTACATGGAGTTATTCCAGAGTGCTTTCCTTTGGGTTTCACCTGCCATTCACTACCTACTGCCTCCTTCTGGCACCTTCATCAACAAACTGAGACCAGGGCAGCCCCAGTTTGTGCCTGGGACACTAGTCTGTGCAGTCTGCAAAAACTCACCACCTAGGGGGGCCTAAGGCTCAGCTACTGTGATGCAAGCTGGCAACACTCTTATGGTGCCTTTACAGAAGGGCACATACAGAAGTACAATGTACCTAATGGCTTTCTCTTTCCCACACATTTGCCCAACTACTTTACCTACTTAGGCATCTGCAATGTTAAAAAAAAAAAAAGGTGACAGACTGCACTAAAGGTACTGCGGGATCAGGTGGTGTATGCAGGATCAGTCTTGTTTGCCTTGTTTCTGTGACACTTCTGTTGTGCCTAGCATTTCTTCCTCACCTCATGCTTTTTGTCCTCTTTCATCTCACCTCAACCTTTTATATGTCTCTAGAAAAGAATCTCAGACCTGCAGCAGCAGTTAATGAAGCTGACAAAGGAAAACAGCAGCAAGCTGCAACAGCTGAACCAGTTTTGTTTTGAAAAGCATCAACTTGAAACTAAGCTGGCTGCACTGAAGAATGATATGGTAAGCCTTTAACCACTGCAGGTTTGGGGCTGTTCAGACATGGGTAAAGGGGTCGGTCATCTGGCCTTCACCAGCTCTCTAGTCTCACATCCTGCTCTGCCGTCAGCAATCTGGGCTAATATTGCCTATTGGCACAGGCTGAATGGCTGCCCCAGGTCTTGTAGGAAGGGAAATTAATTAATAAGGCCTTACCTTAGCTTCTCTGTCATTTCCTACTTAGCTGCTTTCTAATATTGACACAAATTCATCTTACTTCTAATTAAAATTAATTAAAAAATATCTCATGGCAAGTCAAAATTATCCCTTTGTTACACAGAAATGGCCAAATGAAATGTTTTCTTTGGTCTCTATTAGGGAATAGGGCACCTGTGACAGTCTAAGTCAGTGTTCCCTCACTCCGACTTAAAAGTAGTTCTGACTGAAGAGTGGAGAAGTCATGGAGCTGTGCTGCCTCTTGGGAAGCTTCTCTTTCCCACTTGAAATAAATTCCACCATTTATTTATTATTATGTTTTATAGGAGCTGTTTTCTTTCCTTACAGGGAGTAGAATTTCAGCACACCCGAACTACTGACATCAAAGAGAAGGCCAGGCTGGAGTCACGGCTCAAGCGCATCGCTGGTGACACAGCCCTCCTAAGACAAGAAATCAGTCTTCTAAACAGAAAAGGTGGGTACTGAAAAGAACTCACTGTCCTTAGCAGAAAGGATGGGTGCTTCTTTCTACAACCTTCTTAACCACAGGCTCCTGAAACACCAACTGCATCATTCCCTGTTCTTACACCAGAAACTTTTTAGTTTTTCTAAGTTTGTTATTTTCCCTTAAAAATGGATGTAGTTAACTATGGCAGTAGTCACACCTGGAAGTGTGAAATTAATTCTTTTGGCTATGCAAGGGTTTAGTTTTAATGGGCTATGTTTGTTTCTCCTATCAAAATATGACTTTAGTGACAGATATGGAATAAAGAAGTGGAAATACAACTACTAAAGGCTGTTATTGGTTTATTGCAGAAATTTGCCCAGGGCTGATGCCCTGTCTGTATATATGTCTGTTCTTCACATGAGTAGCTGTTGAAGGCTGGATATGAGTTTTGCTTGGGCATATAGAGCTTTGGGACTTTTGTCCTCAAAAATGGTAAAAGGGATCTGCCTTAAGGGTGCCTTTCTTATTGCTAGCAATGGTACTTCTCTGTTAACTGAGCTAGTTAGGGTCAACGGAAGGGCCCTTTGTTTGGGGGAAAGCAAAGGGACCTTTATCCTCAGGGCCTATAGTGCTCAGATGGGAATGCAGCCTATTGAATACCTTCCCACTTGCTTCTGTAGCAGTGGAAAACTGCACTGTAGTGCAGGATGGGGAATTTGCCTGGCAGAAAGAGTGTACAACAAATGCAAAGTCAGCCTGTAATTCCACTGGCTTGAGCCTGATCAGAGTGTATAGTTTCAGGTATATTCTTTTTTACCTCTGGCATTCGGTATGGCAGCAGTGTGTGATCAGTTACAGCACTTACCCTGTCTTAACTGTGGAAACTTCCTTCACCCCAAAGCAGAGGGGTTGTGTTGCACTCAGTCCAGTGCAAAGTTTTTCAAGGCACACAAGGAGACTTGGGGTTGTTGCTAATTTTAAAGTAAACAGAGTGAACAACCCACAGCTGCTCTTGCTCTTCCTCCCCGCTTCCCCTGTTTCTGCTCCTCTCTCTGGTGTACACTCATCCAGGATCCAACCATATCCCAGCCAGGCACAAGAACTGCCCCTGCTGGCCCCAGCACAACCACATGAATGGCACCTGTGCAGCCGGCCTTTCCAGTGGGTCCCTGTGAAGGTGCTCAGCATCCCCTGTTTCCTTCAGGGGAAAATCCACCCTTGTCCACAGGGCTGGGATGCTGAAAGCTTTTTAAGCTCGAAAACCACAGGATGGGGGGTAAGGAAACATTTGCAGAGATTTACTTGTCTATCTGCCTCTGTCTATCTGCCCCATCACCAAACTCATGCAGCTGTCCTTGGAGATAAATGAAAATTTCCTCTAGCTGTGCTCCTCGCTGGAAGCTCCATGTCACTTAACTGGTGCAGGCAGCAGCCATCCTGAGCTCAGCATTAAGAACATTCGTATCTGTGGCTATTTGGAAAACTGTAGCAGCAGGAAATGTGCCCTCTCCCCAGATGTCCTGTTTGCTCTATGTCTGCAAGTGAAAAAGAGCAGGTTCATTCTGTGGCAGGATTTAGCGTACAGCCAGCCACAGAAAAGACTAAAGCCTTTATTTTAGATGTTAAAGCGTGGGTTTGTCTTTACAGATACGCGTCTGCAGATGGAGTGTATGTGAAGGGTTGTCTAAGATGAGCAGGCAGAGAGCATAACTCCAGTCCATTCACAGGAGTGGGTTACTGGGACAAACCTTCCTGTGGGGGAGAGGACAGACCTCTTTGACAGGATTATCTTTCATGAAGCCCTCATTCCAAGAGGGTGCTAGATGTTGGTGGTGGCAGCTCTGTTTGCACCTATGTCCCGCGACGTTTCTTGTGCTGCGGTTTCCATCCTGAGCTCTGATGAACAGCCCAGTGCCAAGGAGAGCTACTGCTGTATTTTTTGGGCCCTCCTGTGACCTTGCTGAGGATGCCTTCTGTCTCCATGGCATTATAAAAAGGCACATATACATCTATATACAAGTGCATAAATATATAAATAGGGGCGTTATACAAAAATAAATACCCATTCTCTTTTTCTCTTTATAATAAATCTTTTGCAAAAGGCAGCTTGGTCCCTAGCTGGCAGCAGAATGAGTCTCTAAAGGCCTCAGTGGTGGTGGGCTGCTGTTCAGGTGTCTTGGTAGGTCCTGACCCAAAGATGAGATCACTGGATTCTGGGGATGGAGATCTCCTCCGGGCTGGCAGCAATCCAGTCTTTCTACCTCTTCAACTGGCACTAGGCCGAGGCAGCAAGGACTTCCTGAAAGGGAAAGGAGCAAGAAATGATTACAGTGAATAAAGAAATGAGAGATGCTGTGGTAGCTCTCTTGTCAACAGTCCACTCTATGAGGATAGGTGCTCTGATCAAAGAGGAAGAGCTGCATTCTGAAAGCCCTGGCTACATGGGACTTGGATCTTGCGCTTGCACACCACAGGTCTGATCCACACTACAGGGCTGGATCAATGGATTCACGTAACTTTTCAGGGACCATGCTGTTTTACTGGCAGTCTGGAAAATGCAAAATTAAGGACTAAAGCACAGCAGCTCTGTAACTGGAGCTGGGTGTGTGCCCTCCCAGCAGCTTACAGTGCAAGCTTTTGGAGAAATGTGTCCCCTAAAACTGACTGGGGCAATTTACACTCCCCAGCTGCTAGTATGGTCTTTCCATGCTGTTGTAACTGTACTTGCTCTGCAGAAGCAAGCATGAACAGAGCCATTGGAAAGGCTCTACAGTGAGATTTCTCTGCAAGATCAGCCTGAAACAGTGAGATGAAACAAACACAGTTTTCCAGACCACTGACCTTGGTGGAACAGGGGATCCCGCCGAGCATCCAGGCTGGGGCCTCCCACTTTGCTGCCCATCACTGGATGATGGAGACCAACAAAGTGCTCTTGAAGGTGAGGACAGTCATCTTGCGGCTGAAGAAGCTGGTGAGTGGAGTCATCTGGGAGACTGTAAAGGAATGAGCTGTCTTCTGTTCTTGGGTTGGGCAATCTGGGGAGGCAGACAAAGAGGTTCAGCACTATTAACAGGTCACAGTAATAAAATGGTTGGGTTTGAAGGGACCTTAAAGATTCCAAATCCACTGCCATGGGCACAGATTTTGCCTCCTTGAAAGCTAGACCTATGTAACATCTCTGCCAGCTGCATCAGTGCAGTGACATAGAGCATTCCTAATGAGGGAAAAGGAGAAATTGGGATGTACTTGTGGGATGGGAATGAGGCAATGGGACCTGCTGTCCATGATTCAACATCTAATGAGTGGCACAGGAGCTGGGAGGAATACCTCCTCCAGGGAGCGTGGGAATAATGACTTGATTTCTGAACAGCAAGACACAAAAGCACCCACAACTGGATCCTGGCCAGGTTCTGGGGCAGCTGCTTATCAGCATCCATTCATAGGTGTTAGCTTCTCTCATTCTACTTTTCAGTCTCCCACTCAGGAGCAGAGGGAAGTATGTCTTGGCCATCTGTACAAATAAATTATTCCTCCCTCAAAAGCTAAGAGAAATGAGCTGTGTGAAGAGAATTTAGACCAAGAAGGCCTACTGCTGAAGCATGGACTTGATTCCCAAGTGAACTGGGACAGACAGGAGTGTGGTAAGGGCAAGCTCTTGCAAGCATGTAGTCTTGTGGGCACTGCTGGATCGTCCCACACTCCCCCTCCACAAGCTAGGACTAACCTGGAGGGCTGGTAGTCTTGCTGGACATTCCCATTTTGGAGCACTCTCGCCTGCAGCAAAGTGTTGGTCTCCTCGTGTGACTGGAAGGAGAGATAAGGATTCTCAGCAGAGCAATGCCACACAGCAGCATTAAGAAGCAGGTGTTGATCTGGGAACCAGAGCCATGGGGCAAGGAAAGCTGTAACTTTCTTTTGCTACAGAGGACAGCACAGAAAAACTCACTTCATGCTTACTGCTGAATCAAAGGGGATGATAATTTATAGTCTTGGCTATGGCACTGCCTTAGCCAGTGTTACTATTTGCACACTGAGTCCTCAACATTGTCAGTCCCTGTGAGCTTTGCTCAGGAGAAACAGGAACCATTCCTGTAAGAGCAGCCTTTGCTCACTGCCTCCTCCATACTTAGAGATACTGCCTCAAGAAACCACTTTTTCACCAGTGTTTTGGAGACTTTTCCATTCCTCCCATGTCTCAGACTCCACTGCAAAGGGGAAATCTCTTTTAAGAAGCCAGTCTTGACACTTGTACATGCTGCAAAGGGTGCCAGACTTGTCTGCAGAAGCCCTCTCACTGCAACCTCCAAGCTCATGTCAAACCAACTTTTAACCACAGGTACGGACATACCTGTGGCACTTCATCTGGACTGTACTCTTGGGGCTTGGTGCTTGCATACCCCACTCCTGCAGAGGGACAGATGCCATTCAGATGTGCCCCGTTGACGTAGGGCTGCCCGTTAACATAAGGATGTCCACTGGCACGAGGAGCAGAGATGCCCCTCAGAGGCACCATAGTGTACTGGCAGGACGAGACCAGCAGCCCAGCTCCTGGGAAGCCCATGTCAATGGTGTGCTCTGCAGAGGGAAAGAAGAGGAATTCTGAGGCCAAAAGGTAAGGTTGAGCTTCCTGAAGCTCAGCAGGGCTAACGTTAGGCTGTGTCCTATCAGGCAGCTATTCTGGCACCCAAAGCATCCTTGGAGAGAAATGGAAAGGGGGCCTACATGAAAGCAAAGGGAGTGTCATTTTCCCCCATTCTAGTCCCAGGGGTCCTTCCCAACAAGATAAGTAGGCCAAGGGACAAACAGTGGCTTTGTCTTTATGGGGTTCCACAGGACATTTGAGATTGCCCTCTGCCCACCCTTTCCCCACGGCCCGGAATGTGCAGCCTCACAATTTGGGTGTTTGACCCAGTGACACCCAGGAGCAAAAACAACTCACAAGGCACAGCACATCTTGTAAATCTCAAGAAAGAACTCTTACTCTGCTTGGACCAGGCTCTCCAAAGGCAAAAGGGGATGAAAGCCACGATGAGGAGTACGATAGAGCCCAGCACAACACCTACGATCAAGTATGGCAAGTCACTGGAACGGGCCACCATGGCTCCTGCCCCCAGGCCATTGTGCCCACCACTGAGTGGGGGATGCTGCTGGGGGGCCACTGTGGAGGGTGGAAGACGACCTGGCAGACCAAGAGACTTCCGAGCTGCAAAAGGAAGAGAAAACGAGCGTTAGACACAGGCATAGAAAGTGGGATAGCAACCCACTCCAGGCATGTCTGTGCTGCTGTGGAAGGGACAGACTTCTGCGGTGGCTTTAAAGAAGTGCCCCTGGATGTCAGAGGACTTCCTAGGCTATTGCATACTGCAGTACAGACAAATCTGTGCTTGGCTTACAGATCTGCCAGAATTTTGGGCTGCTAAACAAAAGGGAAATAGCTTCTCCAAAACACACAATTGAACTTCATGCTGTTCCTATAATGACAGTGCAGCTTCTTGGAAAACAACATGGGACCTGCTTATAACCAAACACAGGAGTTTGGCACAGCAAGGGTAAGTTAGCCCTTCTGGTTCCAGTCACCATCTGTGTGACACTTAGGAAAACAAAAAGTAACTACTCCTTCAAGGAAAACAGTGATGGACCCTGCACAAGGGGTCTGTGAGTACTGTCATGGGTATATACACATACCCACCAACAGCATCAACAAACCTCTGCCTCTCTTCTCCCCAGTGCTGCCTCCATCACCTTGCCTGAGCTTGGATGCCACACAGTCAGGCAGAGACAGCACCTGCCCCAGCTGCAGGCAGGGAAGGCAGCATGCAGTGCTCTCAGAGGTGCCCTGTGAAGCGGGTTACCTTTGGTTTCACAGATCATCACGTTGCTGAACTCGCTTTCACCACCCTCGTTGAAGCATTGCATCTTAATGTCATATGAGGTCTCCGGCTGCAGGTGGCTGATGGAGTGCCAGTACCGATCTCCTGAGGAGGGAACAAACACATGGTACTGTTGGCTTCCTTAGGAAACACGCAGCTGGCATGGTCCTGCAGCACTACTAGATAAAGCAGGCCTGGACAGCAGCAGCAGAGCCTTTTGTGCACAGGCTCCTTCTGGCTGTCTTCTCTTCCAGAAGGAACCAGCAGCTGCGACCAGTCTCTCAGTATCTCTTACCTTCTACTACATCCTTCTTGTAGTCACTGTCATTGTCACTGTCAGTAGGGCGATAGTAGATGTAAAAACCATGGATGGGAGTGTTGTTATTGCTGGCTGGGATATACTGCAGAATACAGGAGAGCAGAAATTAGCAGAGATATCTGTGCTCCATATTGTACCAGGTGAGGAGCAGTTGCCATAAATAGGACGGGACAGGAGGAAGTCCCAGAAGGGAAATCATCCTTGTTTTGCCATTGGTTTGTGTGGTAAGGGCTTCCTTCCAAGAGCTCAGTGCTATATAAGGTCTCTCACACCTTGCTTCCCAAGTAGCAGACAAGCCATGAGTCTGGTCCTGTCACCGCAAGCATCCAGTACTTTGCTCCCTCTCAGCAACTACAACCAATGCTTCAGAGAAAAAAAATCCTCAAAAAGCAGCATCTCAGCCTGGGCAAGGGCAGGCACACATTCACTTTGACTCCAGCAGTCTCATGGCTTTCAGACAAACTGCATCTTTCCATGAACCAGTGACCCCAAGAGTCCCATGTTTTTGAAGACACCTCTGTTCCTCGTCCACCCAGGGCAGTAGTCCTAGCTCCGTGTGTTATTGCTATCTTTCACCCAGTGTTTTATCAGCTACTGTTTGTGTTTAAATAAACAGCACTGCCCATCCTGCCCTGTAGCAATTTCTGGCTAGAAGCGGCTGGGAGAGAAGAGGGCAGTGCGTCCCTCTGAAGAAACTTTAAGCTGTTGGAAACACCTGGATCTGGACTTGTGATCCAAAAGATCCTGCCCACTCCTAAAAAGATTACCAACACTTAGGACTGCTACCCAGCAAGTGAGAGTGAAGGATGTGTCAGACAGAGGTGCTAATGGATTCCAGGAATTTCACTGGGAGAGCAAGCAGCTATCCTGTGCATTGCTGAACTGTGCTTCTTGAACAAAATGGTCAAGACCCTAAGATTATCTGCTGAAATGTCTCCTGTGTACAGCGCTGGATTCAGTCAAAAAGGGTTTCCTAAGCTGTCTGACTTCCCCCACATGGTACATGGCGCAAGCCCAATCCTCCTTTGGTGGAGGGCGCTAGTGGATTACAGATACATTTGTGCTGGTGATAGCCTCCAGTGTGGTAACCTTTAAGATGACAAGTAGCACCTGCGACACCTCCGCTTCCTGCATGTTCAGTAACCTCCACCCTTACAAACCTTACCATCCACTTCAGCATGATGGTGGTCTCATTGATGGCATCTGTGAAAGTGATGTATGGCCCGGCCACAGGGCGCTCATAGACTCGGTTGCTGTACCCAGATACCACATACGGCCGAGATGCCGCACTGGGCTCACTCTCTCCCAGGATGTTCAGTGCCCGGACACGGAACTTATAGGATATGCCTACAGGGGAAAATGGGAAATAAAAGAATTGCAGAGATTGAGTCTTCCAAGACTTCTACTGTCAGCACAGGTCTGACTGTGGAGAGGAGCTACACCTTTTCCAAAAGGCAAAGGACCTACAGAGAGGTTTTGATCAAAGTAAAGCACTGAAAGGCCAGATTTCAGCCATGTGCTAAATGGAGCCTGCTTTTATTTGCCTTCCCCAATTCTTGTCTGGATGGTCTAGAGGTCAGTAGCAGTTCTGGAAAGCGCGTGTGTGTGGATTGGTATGTCCTGACCCAAAAGCAGGTATGGGAAAGTGTCCTTTCTCTAACTCACAGAAATTAAGTACGTAAACATCAGTTAAAAGCTCAAAGCCTAAACAATTTTTTACCCAAACATGATTTTACTGGTCTTTAATTTGGGGTAGATGTGTTGCCCTTTTAAACTGTCCAGCTCGGTGATGCTGTCTTTTCTCATGTGAAGTGCAATGGGAATTGTGTACCCATCTGTCTTGCCTGTGGCTAAAGAAAGTTCTGTCCTGTCTAGTAAATGGCAAAACCAAATGCCTTTAGTAACTATATCCTGTAATACAGAAAAGCATGCACAAGCCTCCCTGAGGGAGGTCAAATCTATGCTGGAGATTTGCAGCTGGAGAAATTGGAGAAGCATTTGCAGTTTTTCTCTATGCATGTAAGGCTGGAGCTGGGGCTGCTTTGTTTTGCTTCTACATGCCAGGGCTAAGCAGGACATGACAGATGGCTAACTATCCTACAGGGACTGCACAGCTTCCTACAGACCTCCAGGAAGCAGGGAGGAGAACACCTGCCTACCTTTCTCCAAGCCTGGGATTTCCACAGAGAGGCGAGAAGGAGGAATGTCACTGGTGGCCAGGACCCAGTCTCCCAACTTCTTCAGTTTCTTATATTCCACGCGGAAAGACTGGATGGGAAACCCACCATTCCCACGGGGGATCCACGTCACATACACGGATGTCTCTGATGCCATGGAGATGGTTGGACGGTCTGGTGCCTCTGGAGCTGCAAGGGGCACAGAAGGACATCAGGACAGGAAACACATTTCTCTTGCCCTGTCTGGAGGATCCTGTATCTTATAAGCATGTAGGTGAAGGTCTACCTGTATTGCACCCACCCACATGCTCTTAAGTCCTGCCTGCTCTCTTCTGTCTCTTCATTAGAGCTGGCACCCCCAAATCCCCACTCCTTTCAGTTTGTGCCCTGCAAACATCTTTTACTCCTGCTTGCATCTTCCTCTATTTCCACTCCCAACTCAAGTAGGATTTGAGGTGTGTACACCCATCGTGGGAGGGAGAGCAGTGAGAGATGTGGATGCAGAGCTGGAGACAGAGCAAAAGCCCTGGCTGATGTGGGAGCAGTAAGCAGGGGGAAACTGACAGTGGGGACAGATGAGTGTAGGAGATGAAAACAGGAGAGATTGAGAGGACCAGCTGAGGAGGAAACAGGGAACAGTTCTGAACTACAGACATGAAATTTGATAGGAAAACAGTCAAAAGTTGGGAGGAAAGAGACGAAAGGAGCTGTGAAGATGAAAGAAAAAGCAACACATGAATGAGTGTGGGTAATTGAATGAGAGGACTTCACAAGAAAGGGTAAGGATTGAAGGAGAGAATTTCACAGAAAGGATAGTGGCTCTGGTGAATAACAGCAATAGTAGATGCAAGATGGGGAAAACAATGAATTGGATTAACCAGTAAGGAGCTGAAGTTTCTCCTGTGCAGCAAAATACCCTGCACCCCTACAATTGGCACAACTGCCCCTTCTCAGGGCTTGGCTGAGAGAGAAGGATGTCAGGGCCTGCAGGGAGTTGGTTTCCTTCCTGCCTCACACTCCCCCAGCACGCACTGATGCACCCCAGCTTGTTGGTCCTGTGCCCCACACATTCACAGGGCTTTCTGAACCCACCACATGGAACCCAGCACAAGAGTTTCTGACAAATCCTTACATTAATGGTGGGGACAGGCAGCAGGATCAGCCTGCTCCCCTAAGACAGACTGCCTGCCAATGCGGTAGCAGGGGTGTCCGAGAAGGACCTCTCCTTGTCAAGACCTGGAGACCCAGCGGAGACTTCAACCCCAGTATGGCCTGGCCGCTACCACCCCCAAAGAGATCCAGCACCCCTCGTCCTCCCTCCTTGCCCAGCTGAGGGAGGGCCTTACGGGACAGACGGCTGTTGTCAGACTGGTTACTGCTCTGAGTGCTTGTGCCTGGGTCATCCCTCTGGATTTGCTGCTCTTTGCTAGCAACAATCTCTGGTTTTGGGCGCCGGCCTGGCAGAAGGGAGAGGTGGCATCAGTGACATGCAGATGTGGACCAGAGTTAATTTTTGCTGTGATAAGCATTGAAAATATTCCCAACCACGATGCTGAGGTAAGTACTCCTGGACTGTAATGGCCCTAGATTGAACCTTTGAACCCCTAGGTTGAGTTCTTTGAACTGAGGCGTTCAAAGCACTCAACCTGCGGACAGGAACTAAAGCTAAAGCTAAAGGGGCAGGTTTGTTAATCTGTTAATAGGTTCCCTTAATTTTCTAAAACTTTTAATTGGTTTTCTTGAAATGCTGCTAGATTTCTGTCTGAGAAGGTAGTAACTGGTACAAGATGGGGGCCTGATGGGAGACGTGAGCAAGCCCACTGCCATGGAGAAGGTTTCTATAAGGGGAATGCCATTCCCCATAGCTGCTGGAGACATGAAAGGCAGCCAGGGGACAGAGGGACTTAGTGTAGACATTAGGAACATCCTTTTAGTGGCAGAGACAACTCTACACCAAGCAGACTACATGAGAAGGCCTGGAGGTCCCTTTGGTGCAGGGCAAGCTGTTAAGGACAGATTAGAGAAACACCTGGCAGGAACAACCCCCACAGGCTGATCCTGTCTCCAGGCAGAGGATGGATTAAATGACCTCTTGACATCCCCACCAGACCTATTTTCTATGATTCTGCAGGTGTCCAATTGAGACTCCAAGGGAGAAAGGGACTTACTCCAAGACACCTCCAGGCAGAGGGGCAACCTGATTTTCTCCATCCTGTTTCAGTCCCACCCTCCACATTCCCTTCTGACAGAATCGCTCTAAGCTGAGGGCAGATGGGTTTCCAGAGCAGAAACAGCCTCTTTGTCCTAAGCCTGGTGCCTCAGGGCTGAGATGGGACTTGTCAGAGGGGCCCTGCCCTGAACTCCAGCAGAACACCCAGGGAAAAGTTCAACCTTTACCAGTCCGGAAGGTCACCATGGCCGTCTGTCCCTCGCCGGCGCAGTTGTGAGCGGCCATCTCCACCTCGTAGAGACTGCCAGGGTCCAGCCTGGTGAGGGTCAGGCGGTGCTGTGAGGCTGGGACGTCCTTCACTGCCCAGCTGTCTGAGGCATTGGCAACCTGCTGAGAGACCAACATGGGCGTTGCAAAGCTGGGGCAGGCTGGGCTTCTTGCCTGCTCCAAGCTCAGAAGATTTCATGGCAGATTGTGTATCGATCAGGGCTGCCTGCCCTGCAATCACATGAGGGAGAAGAAAAGGCTCAGGGGGGACCTTATTGCTCTCTACAACTACCAGAAAGGAGGACGGAGAGAGGAGGTGGCTGGTCTCTTCTCCCAGGTAACAAGTGATAGGACAAGAGGAAACAGCCTTGAGCTGCACTAGGAAAGGTTTAGTTTGGATATTAGGAAAACTTTCTTCACAAAGAGGGTGATCAGGCATTGGAACATGCGATCAGGCTGCCCAGGGAAGTGGTGGAATCACCATCCCTGGAAGTGTTCAAAAACTGTGTGGATGAGGCCCTCAGTAACATGGTGGACTTGGCAGTCCTGGTCGGAACTGACGATACTAAAGGTCTTTTCTAACCTAGTTGATTATAAGATCTGAGCACAGAAGGGGAAAGGGGCCATGTATACTTGTGGCCCCCAGAAAGGCTTGGAAGCACAGCCTGTTTCTTGGGGATGCCCAATGCCCTGGGCAGATGGAGAGGGAAGGTGGGACCTTCCTCATCCTCCCCAGCTGCAAGCATAATATTTTTGCAGGCCAACAGGCAGGACAGCGAAGTGACCCGGTGCTGAGAGGAGTATTAGCATTGCAGGGAAAGCAGCAGAACGGAAATGCCAGGGCTCTGCCTATCATTCATCCTCTCCAAGCGTTTGACACTGACTGATTAATGCCTGCCTCGTTTTATTTTTATTCCCGGGCCCGCAGAGCTGTGAAGCCAGGGAGGGGAGCCCTGGACACTGCTACTGCCCAGGAAAGAGAAAGAGACATTCTTAACAAACAAAGGTAATGGCTGCATGGCATCTGAGTGCCTGTTGGCTCCTGAGGCTTCAGGGGCAGTGTAAGAGCAAGGGAAAAAACGTCCACAGGTATTTTCCAGAGGAGAAGCAGACCTTGCCCAGTACAAATGTTAAGACTCCTGCCAGGAGGTTTTACTTCCCTATAGCCATCTTCCACACAAAAAGCCTTTTCTTTTGTTGCCGAATCTCCTTCCCTCTCTGCACACATGCTTTTCCAGTCAGAGTTGTCAAAACCAGACCATTATATAAATTGATCCTAAGGATTTCTGATAGAGACTCTTTCTAAATAAGTTTAAGGGGTTATTGGGACTAATTCCTTTCCACATAATCCTTAAGCATCCCAAGAAAGAGTCTCCAGCTGAGAATTTGGACTACACTGAAAACATATTACTGCAAACTGCAGTGACCCACGGTGACCTCCACTGCCCTACAGCCCCTTCCAGGTGAAAACAAATAAAATACAGACAAACTCCAGCCTGCCAGTGAAAATCACATGCAGAACTGGTAGTTACATGATACAGAGTTGGGGACAAATCTCTTCCTGGCAGACAACCAGAGCCAATAGTCTGGTGAGGCTTTTGGCATCTTTTGGTTTTTATTTAAGCTTGCCCTATTGTGTTCTTGTGTTGGCATCTTCTGCCTTTGTTTTAAAGGGTTCTTTAAAGAGATAGCTGAAACCCTTAGCTGAGGTTTTATTTAGAAAGAAATCAAGCATGTGTAGGGATTATAACAGCCTCCTGTCATACCTATATATTTTCACAAAAATCAAACAATTCCAGGAAAACAGACACATGTAATTGCAAACGGTGCTTTGCAGTGGCTGGGAATCCAAAACATACCAGATCTGGAATGTACTCAAACCTCAAAGCAAAACCTGCCTCCCTACTGCAACTCGCTGCATACTCAAGGGAAATACAAGCAGCAAACAGATAAATTCAAGCTACTTTTTCCCAGCTTATCCCAGCAAATTGGGAAGAGATGGTCTACACGTCAAAAGCAGAATTTTTACGTTAACAATGCTTTGCTATTTAGAGAAACTGCTGGGCTACAGCTTTGCCCCTATTCTGCCCGTAACGCTGAGAAGCACCACAGAGGGCAGGAGCCCTTGGGCTCATACAGTGCACTGTGTGCTCATGCTGTGCCATCAGCCAAGAGATGCTCAACACTGCACTGCCTTTCAGCTTCCAGAGTGAAGCTGGTGCTTGAGGAGCTTCCCAAAGAATTTAGCATGGTTATGATGCCTTTCTGCTGTTTTCTCAGTCACCGAGCATGGGTGCTTCAGTGCTGCTGAGCTGGGCAGGTATGCGCAGCAGAGAGAGGCTGCTGCCCTGTGTCCTGCAGCCCAAGCTTTTCAAGGCAGATGTGTCCCCATGGCTTGTGACAAAAGCATCACAGAGCAAGTCACTGCACAGTCTGCCCTCAGGACTTCCTGCTTGTGTAAGCACACAGCTGGGAATTAGAAGTGGAAACTCTTCAAACTGGAAATGCATGTGTGTGCATATGCCCTCTGCATACTTAGGGAGATGAGCACTACTATGAGCTCTTCTGGGACACCTTGGCAAACCTCCTCTCATAGCCTGTACCTCAACAGGCTGAAGAGGTCCCACCAACCAGTGTCACCAGGGTGTCCCTGCCACAATGCCCCTGCTTGTGAGGTGTAAAAACCTGCAGTGAGGCCAGCAGCCTGGTGTGGAATGGTGCAGAGCAAAGATGGGAGCAGAGCGAAACAACAATACCTTGCGATGCTTCACCACATAATAGAGGATGGGGGCTCTGCTGTCAGGCCGGGGTCTCCACACCAGATCATAGCTGTCTGTCTTGGATGTCCGTGGGGAACTGAGGATGATGGGGGCCTCAGCTGGAGACACCATCTCCCTGTTGGCTGCACACTGTGGAGATGCTGTCAGCAGGGTTGTCCCAGTCTTTGGCAGTTCAGCTTTATCCAGGGGCAGCTTTAAGGCACTGTCCCTGGAAGGTGGTGTTGGGGGCTGAGCTGAACCCAGCTGAGCATCTTGCCCAGGGTTGAGTGTAGCTCCTGAAAGACAAGATGTCGAGGTAGAGTAAATGCCCGCCCCAGTCTGCAATGAAAGCAGAGCTATGAGCCCCTTGAGCCTCTCAGAAGGCCGATGCTATACACCCACTGCAGCACAGGTCCCAGGTGGTGCTGCCTAGTGAGCCACTCAAAAAGGTACTGGCAACAATCTCTTTCTCCAGCTGTAAACCTAATACACCTTACTGGGGCCTCTCTAAGCAGAGGCCTTCGCTACATCGGGCTTTCTCCCTCTCTGAAGGCCCCTCTGAAGCCCCTGGGTAAGTTCATCAGGGTCCAAGGAATCAGGTGGTACCTCTCTTACCCCAAGTGAATCTAACCACACCAGTGGTTACGTTCTTGCCCAGTGCAAGCTCAGAAGCAGAGCTGAGTAAACCATGGGGTAAGGCAGTACCCCCAGATGTCCCATGTCTCTCATGTAGAGATAGCTCAAGTATGCACATATGGCACTGCTCTTAGAAGCAAAACCGCTTCCATCTGTTCCTACAGGGAGATATGGAGATCCCAGTCAAAAAATCACTTGCTGAGCTGGATAAAAGGGAGGGAAGAGCAAGGCAGCCCAAACGCAAGCAAGAGGGTTACACAATAACTTTCTTCTGCTCTGTCCCTGCGTGTTAGGCTCTGGAATTGAATGGTCACCAGCTTGGAGAGAGGGACTTACCTGGATGGGCTGTCCTCAGCTGCACCATGGCCTGCGCGCTGCCAACCTCGTTCTCCGCCATGCACTGGTATATGCCGTCGTCCTCAGGCCCCACGCTGACCAGGCGCAGCGCCCGGCGCGACAGCCGGAGCCGCGGGCCGCCCAACAGGGGCACGGCGTTGCGCAGCCACACGACCGAGGGCTGTGGGTTCCCTCGCACCTCGCACGTGAACTTGGCGCTCTGGCCCCAGGGGATGATCTGCTGGGACAGCTCCATGGTGACCTCCGGGGGTTCTGTGGTGGGGGCAAAACACAGCTGCTGAGTGCCATTTGGCAGAGAGCATGGCACGGTCATGGTTTTGCACCTTCCTCTGTGGCAGGGACGAGGGCAGAGTGATGCACCTTTACCCCACCCCCAAATCCCACTCCTTTTAAGGGGGCCCACAGGTACCTGCTTCACAGCACCTCTCCTTCAGCATCCACATGAACTACAAGGAGAGGTGGCCCAAGGCCATCTGCCTCAGATGACAGCAGGCACCTAAAAGTCCCATTTCTCTGAGCTGAAGTGCTACTCTGCAAAGATCGTGCTTGTGCCAAAACGGCGTGTCAGCATCTGGGTGAAATGCAATCCAATAAAACTCAGGTTTAGCCTCTCTAATGCTTGTGAGAAAGGGAAGAATGCACAGCAGAAATATCTATGGTGTAGTACCCCATACATTTCTCACCCCATAAAGAGCTTCCCTATAGAACAGAACAGAAAGCAGTACACTCTGATGTCTTCCTTATGCCAATGTCAAACATGTGTAAGAAGCAGACAGTCCTCCACAAGAAAGTGTTAGAGCAAACCAGTGCTACAAATGACAAAAGAAGAGCTCCTGCAGAGGAAGGGAGGATCCAGCATCTCCAGCCCATGGTTGGAGCCACAAAGGAAGAACTATCACCCTCTAGGAAGAACCTGTCTCATCTAGAAACTGGAATCACAAGCAGGGGTTTGCTTTACATGGTGGCTTGCCCAGTGAGAGAAAGAGTACAGCAGCACTAGTATTGTCCCCTGAAAGCAGTGGAGAAGGCCCAAGCCCTTCCTGAAATAAGGGCCAGAGCAGGACTCACCGAACACCTGCACGTTGTAGAAGATGAATGCAGCTCCGGTCTCCCCAACCCCATTGTCAGCCATGCAGCTGTAGGTGCCCGAGTCCTCCTCGCTTGTGGGGTCGATCAGGAGGTTGCTGAGCAGGAAGCGTGTCTTGTTGTACGCGGAGACGCTGGAGCCATCTTTGGCCCAGGTGACCCGCGGTGGGGGGATCCCACTGGCTACACACTCCAGAATGAGGCTCTGGCCCTTGGTGACAATGATGGTCTGAGCTTCAGGGGGGTAGATTATCCGGGCTGCCTCCGCTGTGGAGCCTGGTAGGGAGAGGAGGAGGAAAGAGGTGGGTGGGAAGGAAGGTGGCTAGTGGAGAAGCACCCTGTGAAAAGTGCAGGTAGGGGTAATAACAGGGCTAAGCCCACTGCTCCCCTGCACTGCAGTGGATAAATGGCAACACAGGCTGAGAGGGACATTCCTTAAGGGACGCGTGCATACGATAAGTGCTGAAAGGCTAAGGGCCTGTGATCGCCATCACCAAGAACAAATCCTAACGAGGTACAGCAATCCCAGGGTTGCACACATATCCCAAGGGATTTGAGGCCTTCTGCTGCTGGGAAGATAATGCCGGTTCACACGTAAATCAGCTATGATAGCGCTGGTACGTGCTCCCAGGGCTGGAAGCACTATGGACATGTGCAGTGAAGGGAGAGCGGCTTACGTCTCACACGGAGCCTCTCACTGGAGACAGAGGTTTTCACCTCCTGCGTCACGGGGTTATAGGCAGCACATTTGTAAGTCCCCTCATCCTCCTGGCTGGCATTGACGATCTGAAGGTTCCCAGATGGCATGATAAGGTAATTGTCTGGAGAGAGAGAAGAGGAGGTGGTCAAAAGATATGCTCCTACCCCGAACATCACGGGGAGCAATGGTGCAATGATGGAAGGAACAGAGCCTCAGGTGAAGCTAGTTCATCACAGGTACGTGCAGCAGATGAAGTGAAGCTGCAAAATTCAGATCCAAATTAAAGACATTCCACCAAATCCAAAGCTGCCTTTATCCAGGCTGGGCTAGAAGAATGCTTCACAGACACATGGAAATGCCCAGTGAAGAGCGACATTCTGCATCACCTAATTCTGCTTCCTTTTGCCTATATGCAGATGTAGCTCCCCAGGCCTAGGGAGCAGGGATATCGGGGAGGGACTCTTAGACTAAGCTGTGCTCAGACCAGCAGCAAAAGGACAACAAGGAGGCAGCAGGCAGAGCAAGATGCTGCTGGTAGGGAAAGGTAAAACTGAGGGTCCAGGGAGGAGACCCAGTGGGACAGACCCTGTGGCACTCACCTCGGGAGGCCTCGAGCCACTCCTGCTTCACACTATAGCGGACCTGAGCCTTGGGGTGACTTTCAGGCAGGTCGCAGGCGATCACAGCTGTGTTCCCTTCATCCACCTCGATCACGTGCTGGCCATCAAACTTGAAATCTTTGAGATCTGCAGAGAGCAAACGACAGGGCATGGCTGGCTGGCTCAGCATCTCGGTGTCAGCTCATCCTCCCCCTGAGGACCCAGGGTTGTTTTACTGTGGCTCAATCCCCAGCAGTTAGGGAAACTGGCCTGGTTTCAGAGCTTTGCTTTTTTTCTCCTCCTCCTTACTACAAAATGGGTAACTTAAAACGTAGCTTCTAGAGAAACCTCCTGCTCTGTGGCTGAGAAACTGGGTGTGAAAAATCTTGGCTCGAGAGCAAAAGAAGAGCCAACTTAGTGCAGCACTGAAGGGCGGCCAAAAGTGGTCCTTCTGCTGCCTGCTGTTTCAAACGTGGCTGCTGTCCTGACACCAAGAAGCTGACTTTGCAGTGGTAACTCAGGGAGCCCATTCAAGGGTGTACAGATGCTGGCTGACACACTGGGAGAAGGTGCATGAATGCTGGATGCTCCCAAAGCTGCTCTGAGCTCCTCCGGAGCCTGAGCAATCAGCTCCAGTACCTCTGCTGCAGGTATTCTTGCTCCCATCAAGAATCTCACGGCCAAGGATGGTTAACCATGATGCTTCCGTGTGTGGCCAAGCAGTGCCTGCACCCCAGTTTGAAGAACAGGGAATTGCAAGGAAAAGCAGATCCTTGTGATCACTGCACAGCTGCCCCTCCTGTGAAAATGCCCTGTTCCAGCATGTGTCCCCCTATGATGAGGCTGTGGTAAGAGTTGCTCCTCTGACGGGGCCGGTGCAGGCAGCAGGATTGGAAGCACAGGGGTGGGGAGGAAAGGGTGCTTGACTGCTTGTTTTCTTTTCCCTGCTTTTGAAAGCAGGAGCAATGGACTGTGGTGAAACCCCACAGGGAGCACACAAACCTGGCCCCACTGAGCTTCCTTGTGATAAAACCTGTCCCCACTCCCCCTAAACACAACGGCAAACCTTGCTGACTCACTGCAAGCCCAAACTCTGTCTCAGCCAGCCTGTGCTGGGAGGGGAAAGGTTTGTGTCAGGAAGAAAGCCCTGAGCACACAGTGCTGTGCACCAGCCCAGGCGACCACCAGTGACAACTGCACACCCCATAGCTGGTCACAAGTCACGCTTGTGCATCTTCCCTGGGGCCCACTGCTATAGCACACGTCCCACCAGCAACATGCTGCCAGATCCGGCCAGGACCACACGTCCTTTCAGAGCCCCACGCTAAGGCAGCGCAGCGCGTCCATCACCATGGCACAGCACGGCCACGTGTGTCAACAGCTCCCTCGCCCCTCAAAACCCATCCCAAGACGTGGCACCCGCGACCTTGGGCAGTGTGGAGAGCTGGAGGGGGGGAAGCAGGAGGGCTGGCGGCGGGCGGACGGCAGGCAGCCTCCCTTGGCAGCAATGTGTTTTTGTTCTCTGGGAAATGCAGCAGCGCTCCAAGAGCAAAAAGACAACTCTGGCTCCAAGCTTCTCCCACCCACAGTCATGGAAAAGTGACACGAAGTTTCTCAAGCAGACTTTCTGATTAAAGCAAGATCCTTTACGGAGTTTAAATAAAAACCAGCTCTCTTGGCAGGGCGGTGCTAGAGCCTCCCCGAGTGTGGTGCAGAGGGGCTGCTGGGCGGCTGCCGGGGGAGCAAGCGTCCTGGGACCAGAACTGAGTGGAGGGGAGGAGGTTGAAAAGAAAAGGGGGTTTTGCAATGTCATAAAGATGATTTGCAGCGAACATGCTTCATACTGCTGGAATGTGCTGGCACCATTCAATTAAAATAATAGCAATAAAAAGAAATGTGATTAATCCTTTAAGACAAGCTGGGGAGGGGAGCCATGTTTCCACTGGGTACTAAAGCCAGAGGAAGGTTAACTCTTCACTTGTGCAAAGCTGGCTCGCGTCCCTCCAACAAGGAAAGTTACTGCTGGGGAGGGGAAGGGTGCTTGCTGGGTCTTTTCTCCTCTTTGCTTTTTGTATTTGATCAAGGAATAAAATAAGAGCCACAGCAATGGAAAGAGGTGGAGAAGAGGCAAAAGCCCAGCGTCTGCCTGCCCACATCACGCATATTTCTCTGATCAACAAAATATAAACGAGCATCAGGAAAATTAATGTGCGCCTTGGTGGTCTGGATTCATCGCAGCTAAATTAAGATTTCAGAGCCAAGACATAGGCTCCAGCAATGCTGGCAGTGATCTGCACACACACACACACACATGCACACACACACAGATCCCACAGAGGAGAAGGGGCTCAGGAGGAAGAGCAGACCCACAGCCCCGGCACAGTGCAGCCCACTGGGGAGCACTGTGCTCCTGAAGATGGAAATGATGTCCCTGTGCCAGGGACGCACGGCTGTGAGTGCTGCAGTCCCACAGGGCAGAGACCTGGACACCCAGCCCTTCCTGCCTTCCCCTCCCAGACTGACTGCAGGGGATGAGGGGCAAAGCTGTGGATGGAGGGTGAATGGACGGAGGAAAGGGATCCTGGGGTGGCCTTGGGAGCAAAAACTGGGCATTGCTGGAGGAGTGGAGCAAAACCAGCAGGGGAAAGGAGGAAAACATCAGGTGGGCACCAGAACAAACTATTTTCCAATACGCAAGTGTACAAGCCTCCTGCCAAACTACTCCCCCAAATTCCTGCTCCCACACAGCGAACAAGCCTGTTTTATTTGCCACTGGGTTTTGGCCCCACTCCCAGCTGGTACTGGCGCATACAGCCGTCCATTAACACTGATGGGTTTGCCAGAGCAGGCGAGGGGTGGCTGGGCGCACCCCCATCCCCCTCTGTGCATGGGATGAGCCCCGCTTCACTTGGTCCTAGCACAGCAAAACAGACAGTGCTGCACTGGTCTGAGACAACCAGCTGCATCCCTGAGCTTCAAATGACCCGTCCCCAGGATGTGGGGGGCCACACACACCTACCCCCAACAGGTAAGCAGTGCAGGGGGGTGTAGGAGAGGGGCAGCATAGGGGGACGCAGCGCTCACCCTTTTGGCTGCCCAGCAGCAGCTGTGCCCCATGTCTAACATGCTATTTGCACCCGGAGCCTAACTCCCGCTGCAGCTGGGAAAAACCACATCCTCTCTCCACTGGCTGGGTTTTCCTTCTCATATGGCAGCACCCGGCATGCCAGCCCATGTCCTTGTCCTTAAAAGACATGCCTGACCACAGGGAAGCAGTAAGTCGTCATCCACCAGCCACCGGTGGGAGGTGCTGTGGACAGACAGAGCCATGCTGGGATAACAGCACAGATTCTTTCCCTTTTCTCTTTTTTGTTTAGAACGGAGCACAACCAGAGGCCATGCTCATGTCCATCTGTGCCCCACTTCGAGGCGTGATGGGGTGAGGTGGGGCACAGGGAGGGTCAGCCCTGTAGCTAGCTGTGCTGCTGTCATCGAGGAGGGAAACCAGATGAATCCCAGGGCTGGGGGCCAAGCACTGAGGCAGGCAAGACAGAAAGAATTAAATGAATGGGACACCATAAATAACTTTGGAGAAGAAGCAGTAGTAAATAAAACACCAGCCCTCAAGGTGAAAGTCCTCCCTGCTGTAGTGAAGGGGAAGGGAGGGAAGGGAGTGACCCTGAGAAGGTGAACGGGCAGCAACAGAGGTCCCACAGCCTTGAGGCAGTCACCTTCCACTGCTGCCAGTGCAGCATGGGGTCATGGCTCTCACTCCCTGCCCGGTCAGCATCACAGCAGCCCGGGCACTGGTGCTGTCACCACCAGCTCCTTCCCACCCCACTGGGACAGGCGCAGCTCCAGGCCCCCTGCCTGCTCACACAGCCCTAGCACATCCCTCTCACCATGCCCCAGCCCCATTCCCCCTCGTTGCCCCAGGCCCGTCTCACAGCCCTCATGCCACAGCTCCTCCGGCTCACCAAACACCACCTGTGTTTTTCCTTCTCTCCCCTCCTCACACCACCTCTGCCCCCAGGGCCAGAGCCCCTGTGCCTGCTCAGCAAATGCTTTTCCAGCACGCAGCCACCCCCTTCCCTCCCTTCCTCTCGCCTTCCCCTCTGGGGAGCCGTCAGAGGAGAGGCCAGGCGGAGGAAAATGAATGGGGCTGTCTTCAGAAAGCAGCTGCAAATTCCTGGGGGACGCCCAGCCCGACCCGATGTAGGGTCACTGCCCATGAGTGCTGTGTGCTGAGGCCTGGCCTCCCAAACCTTCTGCCACAATGCCGAGGGCTGCCCATTCAAGGTATCCCAGATTCCAGGCCATCAAGGGCTGCCTCAGGGCCACGCAGGGCTGATGCTGTGCAGCACGGCCAGGCCAGCAGCGATCAGCAAGTACCTATCTGCACGGCTGTGCCACGGGCTGCCCAGGTCGAACACAGGATCATGGTGCCCAAGTAAGTGCCTCAAGTGCTGCTCCTTTTGTTGCTTCAAGGAATCTTCCCCTTTCTGTGAATCCCTTCTCCCTCCACCCCTTGTCTATACAGCAGCTATTTTATCTCTGCTGGAGGAATGTAATATTGGTTTCAACCAGCCCTCTGAGCCAGGGAGAGCAGAGATGGACTCGGTGCTGCACCACAGATGGGAGAAGAAGGTATCGGTCCCAAGGCTACACTGTGGCTGCCAGCACTGCAGCAATGGTTATCTGCTTGCTGACTGCCAGCAAAGCACAAGGAGGCCCTGAGGGAGTGGGCACATAGAGCCTGGGGCACTCAAGGAAGTTCCTCCTAAGGAGTGGGAGAAAGGAACAGAAATAGCCTAGAAATTGGCCAGATGATCAGACCCACACCCCTCAAAACTAGCAAGACACTTTTTCCAATGACTCCAGGTCCTCTTCCAGGATAAACCTAAACCTCTAATCCTTGAAAATATCCCTCTACCCCTGCTTTCATTCACATTCTACCAGTTCCATTCTCCCCCCCCAGCCCTCCACATAACTTTTGGATGGGGCTGAGACTTTCAGAGTGTTTTCTTTCAGCCCAGCAGGTGATCTGCCATGCAGAGCCAACCTGCCAGGGCTGTGGAAGAGCCTGCAGCAGGAGTGAGAGCCCCTGGCACATGGGCTACCGTAGCTTTCAAACTCAGTCCCACCTCAGACTGGTGCCCCCCCGTTATTTCAGATCACTGCAAAGCTGCTGCTGCCAAAAGCCTCCAGCTCACGCACAGGAAACTAGTTATTTGAATACCTCCAGAAAGTTTCATTGCTACACGTTCAACCCCATGTCCTTCCTGGGCTGCCTCTCCCTCTTCACTTGACTATCAAGTCTCCCCTACCTTTGGGCTCTCTACCACCCAAGGCTGTCTGTGCAGGGGACACAACCTCTGTCACCCCCAGCTCCCCTCAAGGACAAGGGACCCATACAGCAAAGCACAGGGGTGTTCCACGATGGATTAACTGCTTATTCATCCAACCTCTGGCTCCAGTTTTGTGAGCTCCACTGAATGGTGCTCCCGCCTTTGCCATGACAGGGACTGCAGCAATGGGCAAGTCCCCTTCTTTTGCACACATGTCCCCAGCTGGCTCCTGGAGAAGGCTGAACGACTACTTAGCTGTGGCTTTCATTTGTCCTGAGGGACACAGTAAGACCTTCTTGGTGCTCTAGGACCTGTCTCCCAACCACCACTGATGCTAGACCAAAGCAGACAGATAGATCAAACAGCCATGCTTTGTCCCAGGAGACAGAGCTGCTGGTGGTGGGTTGGGGTGAGGGGAAAACAAAGAAAAGGGGATCAGCCTCAGAAGGAACTGATCAGGCTGAGGAGCTACGCACCCCCTGCTCTCCTAAATGCAAACCATGCCCTTGGTAATCCCATCCACCTCTCCCCTGCTCTCCTTCCCTCTATCAGGCCACCAGTGCACACAGCCCCCTTTCTGCTCTGGAATGTGTTCTCCGAAATTTAATCTCAGCACAGGGCTCAGGCCAAATCCCCTGACAGATTCGGCCCACTGCCTCAGAGCTCAGCAACTCTCCCCTCGCCTCCTCCTCCCACCCAGCCTGGCCTAAACATTTCATTCCTGATTAATGTAGCAGTGACAAGCCAATAGCTCTTGGCTTTAAAGCAAAGCCAGCCCTCACTTTGCACAAACATCTTCACTTCTTCATTTTCTTAAGGCTTAGCCCCAGACTCCCCCTTGCTGGGAAGACGAAGCCTTTTCCACGCCCCGGGGCTACCACTGCCAGGGGATGGTGAGCTCATCTGCACACACTTGCTCTACCAGAAACTGTCAAAGACTGTCTGGTCTTTGGGAAGGTCAGACTCACCATTGCCTAGCAAGGGTGGTTCACACAGAGCCCCCCTACCTCCAAGCAGGGCATGGGGGACGGCTCTTCCTCAGATGCACCCAAATACAGCACTTTCTCACATCTGAGCATAACATCTGGCCAAAACCAGGCACCTGTAAGAGGAGTTTCCTACTCTTAAGACACCTCACACACATACAGGTCTCCTAGGTCTGTCATCAATGCCAGAGGGCAGCAGTGAGGAGCACATAAGCTCAGGGATAGAGGCAAAGTCCTTTACTTAGAGCTCTGGCTCAGAAACAAAGGGCTTTTTGCTGCCATGATACTGCAACACCACAGGGTTAGGGTTAGGGTTAGGGTTAGGGGGTTAGGGTTAGGGTTAGGGTTAGGGGTTAGGGTTAGGGTTAGGGTTAGGGTTAGGGTTAGGGGTTAGGGTTAGGGTTAGGGTTAGGGTTAGGGTTTAGGGTTAGGGTTAGGGTTAGGGTTAGGGTTAGGGGTTAGGGTTAGGGGTTAGGGTTAGGGTTAGGGTTAGGGGTTAGGGTTAGGGTTAGGGTTAGGGTTAGGGGTTAGGGTTAGGGTTAGGGTTAGGGTTAGGGGTTAGGGGTTAGGGTTAGGGTTAGGGTTAGGGTTAGGGTTAGGGTTAGGGGTTAGGGTTAGGGTTAGGGTTAGGGTTAGGGTTAGGGTTAGGGGGTTAGGGTTAGGGTTTAGGGTTGGGGTTAGGGTTAGGGTTAGGGTTAGGGTTAGGGGTTAGGGTTAGGGGTTAGGGGTTAGGGGTTAGGGTTAGGGTTAGGGTTAGGGGTTAGGGTTAGGGGTTAGGGTTAGGGTTAGGGTTAGGGTTAGGGTTAGGGTTAGGGGTTAGGGTTAGGGGTTAGGGTTAGGGTTAGGGTTAGGGGTTAGGGTTAGGGTTAGGGTTAGGGTTAGGGTTAGGGGTTAGGGTTAGGGTTAGGGTTAGGGTTAGGGTTAGGGGTTAGGGGTTAGGGTTAGGGTTAGGGTTAGGGTTAGGGTTAGGGTTAGGGGTTAGGGTTAGGGGTTAGGGTTAGGGGTTAGGGTTAGGGTTAGGGTTAGGGTTAGGGTTAGGGGTTAGGGTTAGGGTTAGGGTTAGGGGTTAGGGGTTAGTTAGGGGTTAGGGTTAGGGTTAGGGTTAGGGTTAGGGTTAGGAAGAGGATAAAGCCCTGGGAAGGTGGAGCATGCAGTGGTAATGAATACAGCTTCCTGCCCCTTACAAACAGAAACGTTGTTATGACTGCTTTTAGATATGCCACTGTCCTGTCCACTTCTGTACTCACCTTACTAAATGAGGACAGCACAGTCTCTGCCTTCAGCATCTGCATGCATCTGTTCTCCCACCACCCCTTTCCCTCACCTTGCCTTTTGGCAAGGAATCTTCCCAGTGGTACACAGAGGACCACCAGCCACTTCATACAGGTGCTCACGTGCACCTCCTCACAGCAACCAGACTAACCTTGCCTCAGTGTGAGTGTGGAGGCTGGTACATTGGCTATGATGAACCCAGGGGCAGCACAAAAAAGTGCAGGCCCCACCACAGCACAACAGGGCAAGGGACTTCAATTTCTGTGGGTCAGGAAGGCAGTAAAACCTAGCACATGCTGACCCAGTGCTGGCAACAGCCCTCCAGCAGCCCAGGCAGTGGTTTGGCTATCAGCACTAGCAGGTACTTTTTGTTAACCTCAATCAAGAAGTCAGCAAACCAGATGAGGAAGCATGACACTCAGGAAGTCAACCATGCACACCAACCCCATCGTTCAATCATATTCTGGTCTTGCAAATACTGTCACTGCAGGACAGGTCTGCAGCCTACCATGGAGGAGGACTGCTTGCGTCATGCTAGGCCACAACATGACAGCCAGTCCACAATCAAAAATGCTACAAAATGGCCTAAGCCAAAGGAGAACCCCCTTGATGTTAGCGTGAACAAGTGAGCATGGATGAGTCTCTCAAGGTAAGTGAGTGATGGCCCAAGCAATGCAGGGGATGGCAGAGGATGAAAGCTACTCACTAGCTAACGTGACCACTGCAGGGACACTGGCAATGACTCCTTCAGGCACACGAGCAATGCACTGGTATCGCCCCACGGTGTGGTTGTTGAGAGCTGTGATGACAAGCTTCCCTCGCTCAATGTGGATACCCAGCACTTTGTCTGATCCAGCCAGCTCCTTCCCATTCAGTCTCCAGGTAAGGTTTACTCTGGGGGGGTCCACCACACACCCCAGGCTGACTGGACCCCCAAGCTTTTGGACTATGGAGGCAGGTTGCACTGTGACCTGCAGAGATTCACCTGCACAGGGGGGAAAAATGGGAATAAGAAAGCTCAGTGAGACTAAGCAAAAGAAAGGACAGAGTTAAAAATGGCAGTACTGGTACATTTTGCATTGGAGACCGGAAAACACTCTGTGCTTGAGGCATGGCTATGCTAAGCAGCATCAAGGCAAAACATTCAAAAAACAGAACAAATGGGTAAACCCAGAGACTCACTCAGTCCGGCAAAGCAGCTAGCAGCTGCAAGGATGAGGCAAGGGATGGGGGACATGGGTCTCTTCTTTCCACGTGTCATTGCTATCCCATGCAGTGCGTCCTGGGGTTCCCAGGGAAGGGTCCCATAAGCTGCCTCGGGAGATGCTGTGGATGTGCGGCAGCAGATTCCTGTGAATGACAAGAGACATGATGGATGAAACCCTCAGATTTCCCTCTGCTTTCCAGCCCTGCCTGGCTTCTCTACCAACATCCCTGAACTCCCAGAGATTCACCAAGCCAGTGGCCTGAGGAGGTTACAGACACTGGTACAAGCACTTCTCTTCTCCAGCCTCCCCCCAAGCATGGCTGTGAGTCTCCCAAGACATTCCCATCCTCAGTTCTCGGTACAAATCTATGTGTGTGTGCACAGACACATACTGCCCCATTTCAGACTCGGTGCAGTGAATGCCTGTACTGTGCCAGCAATGTACACCAGGCAATTTTCAGGATCAAAACACAAACATTTCCAACAAAGTATCACTGGAGATATTCACCAAGTGCTGCTGCCACTTCTTGGCTCTGTCTGGAACGTATTCTAGCCTGAACACAGAAATAAATGAGTAGTGCAAGTCCCAAGCTATGAGAAAACAGAGGTGATCCTGCAGTTTCACAGCCTTTTCCTGGACACTGGCCATGTTGCTGCTGGGCATACCTGCGTTTCAATCCAGATGGGACTCCTTAAGAGATGTAAAAGTTTTTCAGGGCATTTCTGCAAGGAATTATTCTGAAGGGGAGGGGACACTTTTGGAGGAGGAAAGAAATGCCCAGTTCTAAATTTGTTTAAATTCAGTGCAGCGAGCTGACAGCGGATCACACTGACCTGGTATAATAAACCTTTATTCTAAACCAAGAGACCCAGCCTATGGAAAGATTTCACATTAAGTGTTCTGCCTGAAACACATTGCTGATTTTGAGCTGAACTACCCTGTCTGGACAAACCACCAGGTTCACAGCCAAAAGCAGCAACAGTTTCCACAGGTCTTGAAGAGCCCAAGACCTGTCACAGCCTAGGCTGATGTGGAGAGCTGCACCACAGCAGCTCTTGTGGAGAGAACAAACAGACAAGCCAGGTCAGGGGGATCAAAGATGTAAGTGGCTGCTCCAAGAGGCATCTCAGACATTCAAATGAATTCAGCTTCACCCAAGGGCGAAGGTCTGAAGTCAAGAAGAGACCCCCCTCTATGGACATCATAACACAGATACAGGATTGAGCTTCCTTCAGTTTTAACACTAAGAAAATGACCTACAAGTGCCAATGGCATTTCAGAACTGCTCCTGTGGCATGCCTACATTGGCAGGAAAGAAGCCCAAGACCAAACCAGACATGGAAGCCAGCCCAAACAGCAGTTATATTGCCTGGTCTCCCTGCAGATACACAACAAGCTGCTTAGCTGCAACCACCATCCTCAAGAGCAGCTGGGCTCTGCAGAGCAGTATTTCCTACTTCCACCACAATCACTGCTCAAGCAGCAACCTGTTTGAGCATATCCTTTCCATAACCATCCCAGTCAAAAAGAGGGGATAAGTTCCTTCAAGCACAGCTTCCAGACTAATTAATTTCTGAAGTAAGGACTGCCAGACTCCCCATGAGACGCTCAGCAAGTTGTTCAAGGAAAGGCTGGTTACTGCTAGCAAGGAAGCACAGCGTTTGGGGAAATCTCACCAAGCTACTCTTAAATGACTTTGCTTAGCCTCTAGTGGCAGCAAAGGTGAAAGAGTGCAGTACAGGGCAATGTCAAACGCCAGCAGTGCTGAGCTCCACATCACAACAGCAAGAATCCAGCTAGCCAGCTTGCATGCCTCTCTGCAAATTGGGCTGTTCCTCCAACAGCCTCACAAGCTGTCCTCTTCCCCCCCCCCACCATGCCCCACAGCACTGCTTGGGTGAGAAGTGCTGGAGGAGACATTCATATACAGCTGAAGAGAGGTAAGGAAAAGAAAAGCCTCCTCAGAGCTGGTGCTTTCAAAAGGAAGTAACAGCAAGTAAAGCAACCTCCAGCTGGAGCTTCGCAAATGCCACATAGAGCATCATTATGTGGCACTTTGCAGACCAATGTGAGCTCACTTGGCTGGCCTGTCTAGTGTGCTCAAAGCAGCTTTTTCCCAGGAGTCACACGGTCATGGTTAGAATGGTCCTGAGGCCAAGATGACAAGCCCTGATGAGAGGCAGGTAAATTAGGCCACACTTGGCATGGCCTGATGTGGCTTCCAGGTAGGCAGGAGCATGAAGAGAGCTTGGCCTTTGGGTGTCAGGCTGGGCACACTCTGAAGGCACCCAGAAAGACCAACTAGACTCATTCTAGCTCCTGCAGCCCACAGCCACGTACATGTGAAAACCCTCTGTGAATAACCTTCAGTGACAAAGCAACAAGACAGCAACTTCCCTCCCAAGCACCTCATCCTTCCTGGCATTCACTCTTCTCACTTAAGGACAGAAGAGAGTCTCAACAATTTATCTTTGAAGAGTTTCCCCTGTCAGCCAGCACATATGAAATCCTTTAACTATTGTCTTGGGTTATCTAAGTTACTCAAGTTCACTTCTCCATGTAAGACAGCCACCAAAGCACTCTTTGTTATGCCACAGCCATCAATGCAAACTCCTAATGGCCATAGCCATAGAAGTGCCTGAGGTCTGTCCATACCAGAACATGCACTGCTGACACTGTTGCTGATGTGCGAGTTGATGTACCACTCATCTAGAAAAGACTTTGAGTTAGTTTAGGCTTAAAACCTCACACCATAAGAATCTACATTTTTACACCAATGCATAAGAACAATTTAGGGTAGGACTTCAAGTCTTGCTCCTCAGTGCTGGAAGCCCACAAAGTGAAGCTGAGTCATTCCCCTCTCTAGATGGGTTTGGCAGCAAGAAGGAAAAATGCTGGATGGAAAAGAGCTGCTCCTTGGAGCCCATGCTGGGGGAAGGGGGAGGCAGACACATTCCCAACCAGACCTCCCTGTAGCTTTGCTTCGCACAGCGCTTCTGGCAGAAGGGCAAAGCCAAGGGTGCAGAGATGGGTGATGGAGCCTTTGTGAGCCTGGACCACCCAAGCACATTGATGAGACGACAAAACTGGCTGCCCCAGGTCTGTAAAAAGATGAAGGGCAATAGGTGGGGAGAAAAAAGGAGAGATCAGAAAATTCAGCCATGGTGCTGGGCAGATTGAACAGTATTGAGCAGAGACTGAGGAGAGAAGGTGTGTTGCAACAAGTGCATGGTACCTCCCAAACCTCCAGGCAAAGTATGAGCTCTAAATAGGGACATGTGGCCATTTTTTTCACAGCTGAGTGAAGTACAAGAAGTAAATGGACAGCATAAAAATAATGAGGAGAATGAATGAAAAGATCAATTCCAAAAGAACTGTTAGCATCCAGGGCCAGATTTTGAAATTCTCAGCTTCCACAATTGAAGCCAGATTTACAAAAGCATTCAGTTCTCAACATGCTGAGCTCTCCTAAATAGGCAACCAACTTATTTTGATGCCTAAATGGGAACTGACCTCTTCTGAAAATGCTGCCCTTTAGCAGCCTACAGTAGTGCAAAGCAAGGAACTTTAATAATCAGGCAGCTCTTGATCTGCCAGTGTCCTGCAAGCACCGCTAGAGCAGGCTGCAATGGGAGAGGTGGGGAGCAGAGGAGGCTCCAGTCACTGTGGTTGCCTTCCCAGAGGCAATGGTCCTGGACTGGGGGGGGGGGGGGGGGCTGCATGACAGGGTCCTGCTCTGCTGTCTCCTCTGCCCAAGGCAGGTCAGGTACAAGATGCCCCTTGCACTGATGCTTCCGCAGCCACTGACACCACCAGCCTCAACAGCTCCTGCTTATGTGGAAAAACAAATACTTAAAGTAATTTAAAGAGCTTCAAGGGGGGAAGGGAAAACAAAAATTATTTGTTTATTTATTTTTAATTCTTTCCTGCCAGGTTACAATAACAATTTCCTGTCAGAGCTCTGCAACCTTTTCAGACAGCCCAGTAAACCAAAGGAGGGGCCATTAGGAGAACAAAATTAACAAGAGCTTCATCAGATAGGGAGGGGTGGTGGGGGTGTAAAATCTGTTGGCTCTGCTTCCCACCACACACCTCAGCCCACTGAGGCCCCCGCACAGCCCCAGCGTGATGGACGGCACTGCAAAGGCAGCGGGGCAGGGAAGAAAACCAGAGGTGAAGATATAAAAGGGAAGAAAGGCCGCATGCGTGCAGGGGGGTGATAGAGCTCGAAAGGAAAAAGGGATCTGAATTAGGCACAGGCAGCAGGAGAGGTGTTTGCTGATTAGAAACTGAAGGTTTTACTGAGGAAATGCTGCTCACAGCTCCAAGTCCCCTCCTGCTTAACGAGGGCCGGCCAATCCTTGTTACTGCCACGCTGTCTGTAATTTACAAGGCTCCCAAATAGGAACCAGGCTCTGCCCCAGCTCCGGGGCAGTGTCCCTGCACCACACACCCCAGTGCAGGGCACAGGCTGGGGGGAAGGCAGAGGCAGACTGGGAGAAGGTGAAAACTCACTGATCGATGCACATGAGAATAGTCTGAGGTTCTGTCAGGCAGCCAGACCCTGAGCACCTCTTCCTGCAGAGGGGGAACAGTGGGAAGGGGAAGGGGCTGCTCTGTGCTAAGGCAAAGGCTGCAGCAGCTCAGGCCCAGCTGGGGACACCCTGGGTATTCACTGCAGCTGGTCTCCATTTCTGACAGGTCACACAGGGACAGTGATACTCCCAGATCTCTGTTTTATGCATTCAGACTTCAGCTCTTCAGAGGCAGTAATGTCTTAGTGCAGTTAGCCAGTTTACTTTATGTAATCATTAGTTTTAATACAAGACAGTATTTTGTTGCTGTTGTTCCACAGAGCTTAAGGCACTGAAAAAGAAACTGTAAAGGAGGAAAAAGCCACAGCACCTTTTTGCTTTACAAATGCAGAAACCTGAGCACTAGAAGAGGAAGCCAACCTAGCCCAAGGTTATACAGTAAAGCAGTGTCAGGGCTGGAAGCTCTATAACTGGGGCCTCCATCCCATCAGGCAAGTCATTCTTGGTCCCAAATCTTTCTCATCCTGTCTGAAAAAAAGTCACCATACAACTCCTCTAGCTGAAAAAACACTGCCCAGGTGACACCTGAACAGCTCAGCTGCAAAGT